CGGGTCATTTATACAATGAAGTAATGTCCTGTAAAGAACAAAAAAATAATAACTGTTAGTAAATGATAATGGGTGCACTATTATGATCACAAGGACTTTCATTTGCTTGAAACTCCATCCCTTGTGGTGATGGTATTGGACATAATTATACCATGTGCTCTCTGTTGCCACATTCTTAGTGGTTGATCGGTATCAAGTGCAGCCATGTTATCAACTGATAACAGGACATTGCCTGAGATCAATGCATGAACAAGATTGCATGTGTTTGCGACTCATCAACATTCAATGTTTTCCCACATTTGTATGGATATAGTTTAAGCAACAAATCACCCATTATTTCTTTATGTTAAAAAATCCTGGTCATTTTCATTTGGAAATTTATCTATGTGTGCATGTTGTATGTGTAACTGAAATACAAGCTTCCATGGTGCGCTAACCAATAAAGAAGTCTCTTTCTTTTTTCCCCAAGCTACCACTGCATGCATATTGAATTAATATGCTAAAGAAATTGACTGAAAAACTCTGCACTGTTCATTATTGCATGATAACAGAGATGAAAGAGATGTTTCCTTGAATATTGAGCTGACTACGCTTGCCCATTATTGCGCACATAATAAAGGCAGTGTGGTGGATAAGTTTATATCGCAAAACTAGGCGTTGGGGTGTTCTTTTCGTCACATAAAACGAACTGACTAATCATGCGGAATTGTTATTGAAACGGACATCGATTGCGTTGTGTTTTCTTGAGTTGAACAGACGTGAGGTATAATTCAAACTGGTTTATTTGTACTCAACATGAACATCAATATGTTGTACAGCAAATACTTCTTGGTATAAAATATAGATCGCTAAATAATAGCTCCATGAGGAGTTGGCATCGTAGAGAGCATAGAAAGGAGAGTGTGCATAACGAGCATCAAGTTGCGAAGCTACCATAGAAGGAATTACAGCGACGGCCTGAATCGGACTTCTCACGACAGCGCTTTGCCTGGTTAATGTAATTGTCAACGTTAGAGCGGCATTTGTCTCGGTGACAGCTAATCGGAGAAGTACCAAACACGTGTTTGTACTCTAGAATATATCATGCCAAAAACGTTCCGAAAATAAAACAACGCTAATGATTGGCGCATACAAACGAAACATAGCGCTGTCATTCCATATTAGGAGTGACACGCGACTAACACGAGGCAGAACTTTGGTGGGAATTTTGGGCAGTAAACAGACAAGTACCACGAGAACGCAATGGGAAACAATGTAGCGAACGTTTGGATATAGCGTCACGGTTGCTACAGAAACCGATCTAGTCTCTC